GTGTAGCCGGCCACGTCGGACAGCGTGGCGGACAAGTCGATGAGCTGCGTGAAGCCGTTGATCAGGTAGATGCACACGAAGGCGTTCTGCGGGGGGGAAACGAGCTCAGCGAGGACAGGACAAAGTCTTCGAAAAACGGCCGTCAGGGGCCGAGGGGCGGTGCTGCCACCTAGCGGCCGCTTTTATGTTTCATTCACAACACAACATTGGAACTTTGTTATTCTTATATTCAATTTTGTGATGTTTTTCCATTCTTCTTCCCAGCAAATAAAAGGTCGGGGGCGGGGAGTTCATTCTTTTCTGATTTAAGTCATTGAAAACCCCCCCCCCCCCCCAAAAAAAAATATTGTACCTTGCTGATGAGCGCGCTGAGCTCGCCGGGCGTCAGGCCGTCGTACAGCCCGCCGAAAATCGGAATGGCGATGACCACGTAGCTGAGGAAGCCACCCAGGTAGTCAAAAGTGTTGACCCCAACTAGGAACGGAGACAAACGGGAGCTTTTCATTGCCCCCCCCCTTTCCCCGCTGCGCGCGCACGCGTGCGTTTGCGTTCTTACCGGAAAGCCACAGCTCTTTGTTGATCAAACTTCGCTGCGTTTGCAGCAGAGCCTGCAGGCGTCCGTCGGTCCTCGCGCGCTCCACCTTGCCGGCCCTGCAAAGGCGGCGCGTCAGTCACATCGGCGGACTCGCGCCACGCCGGCGGCGCCGCGGGAGTCACGCGCGTGCGGAAGGAAGCTCGCCTGTAAAATGCCGCCGACTCAGCGTTGACTCGGATCTGCATGTGCTTGAATCTGCGCTCGGGAAGGAGAAGCGGGCCGGCCAATCGGACGTTAGTGCGACATTTGCAACCACGCGCGGCGATCTACGGCACGTTTCGGAATCGACGGTCTCTGGGTAACGTTTACGACGCACCGTCATCATTGACATGCGTGTGGATTTCATTGGAGCAAATAATCACATCGATTTGGTGATTTTTTTCAATAAGATGTGCAATGATTCAGATGACTTCAACGCATCGATGATTTTGTGCGGGACTTGAAGCGGCCGCCTCTCGCGTTCTTCGCCAAAAGGCCCCGATGGAACGGATGCATCCCGGCCGACGACGACAACAAGAACAAGAAAAGGTGCAGCCGGGCGTTGGCGCCGGGCAAGACTTACGTCCTCCGATGGGGGAAACGCGGCAAGGTACCTGAAGTCGCCCTCCAGTTTCTCCTGCTCAAACAAGGTGGACACAATGGGCCCCATGAGGATTTTATTGGCCAGCGTGCCCACCGCAAAGTAGGCGAAGATGCTGACGGGGCCCATCCAGCCGGTGCTGAAAGCGCAACGAGACGGATCGGCGGGTCAGAAAATGCGAGCGTCCTCGGCTTGAAACCCAAGCGTCACTCCGACGGAACGCGACCCGAGTCAGACGAGCGCGTTTGAGGAGCGGTCGGATCGTGCCAAAGGGCGACCGCAACGAAAACGGGGGGGGCGACATTTGAACTTTTTGCAGCCGTCTAGCAAATTTGACAGAACTGAATTCACCGTGTCACGTTTTGTTTGTCACTGTCCAAATTTTTTTTTCTTGACTTCAGTGTGCCCAATCGACTCCTCCAAAAGCATCGGCGCGTCCATTTTGCGGCGGTTGGCGAAAGGAAATGTCAAAACGGAAGCGATTGCATCACCTTCCCGCACTGGAGGAAACACAACACAAAAAGAAAAAAAAAAGCCAGCAGCCAAAGAGCGGCGTCGCAACAACGCCAGGACGGCGGACGAGGAATACCTGAAGAAGCAGTGGGCCGTGTAATAGGCCAAGGTGAAGGGCGACGCCACCAGCCGACCGGCCATGGCGCTCATCTGCTTGCAGAGCCTCTCGGCGTCCTGACTGATGCGCTGGTCCCTTGGAGGGAAAAAAACCGGCGTCAGCGAGCCGGTCAGAGCGCGACAAGAGGACGCTGGGCGCTCACGGGTTGTCCACGTCCTCGCGGAGCACGTTGAGCGTGTAGTAGACTCGCCCCTGAAAGTAGGCCGCGTGCAGGCTCTCCGTGAGCGTCTTGCGCCACTTCACGTACATCAGGTTGCCAATGTACTGCTCCAGGCTTTTTAGCTGTCGGGACAGGAGGGGGCGGGGGGGGGGGGGGGGAAAAACCAGCCAAGCGCTTCAAAGACTTGAAACGGCAGCCGCGAGGTCGGACTCTGCGCGAGCGGGTGGGCCCTTTGACTGGCACCGGGGGGCTTGGCGCTCAGACTTTTAGCAAGTCGCCTTTTCAAACGACAGCGAGTACACACGCCCGCCGCATGATCAGAAACAAGTCGAAGAAACTCTTGAGAAGCAAAAAAAAAAAAAAACCAAAAATGCATCCACACAAAGCCAAAGTCGAGCTTCATATTGAGCGGCAGAGACCTCTGCCTCACTCTTATTTCATTCGACTTGAGCGTTGTTATCGATATGCGTGCCCGGCGACTGGCAATGGGTAGTCGAGGGGGGGGGGGTGCGCCCGCTGCTCGAAGACGGCTGGGAAAGGCTCCGGCACGCCCACCCCGCCGCCGTGGTGAAAAGCGGCTCGGATAACGGATGCACTCTTGCATCATCTGGCATTTAAATTCAAAAACAAAAAAAAATGAAGGAGGAACTACGTTGAAGTGACGAGTTTCATTTCAACACAAGTGGCACTTTTCTGCCATCTTGTGGCCTCTGTTGGCAATTGTACACTGTTTTTATTTCTTTTGGGGGGGGGGGGCACGGATGCCTCGCAAGGACTTACGCTGGAGTTGAGGACGATGAGCAGCATGGCAGTGAGCAGCAGGCTCTTGAAGCTCTTGCCGTCCTTGTCGGCCAACACGTTGTAGAAGCGACTGGGAAGGATGCCCACTTGGAAAATGATCAGCTGCTCTGGTTTGCGGAAGGAGAGGAGCGCAAAAGGCGCACGCGCGTGAGCCAGCATCTCGTTAAAATCTAAAGAGCTCATCAAAGTCAGGTGGGGGGGGGCTAAAGGTCAGATCCCCGACGAGCGCCGCCTGTTGCGCAACGGAGAAAGGCCGTCCCCAGTCACCGCTTGAGAAACAAAGCGCTCAAGCAGATCGCGAGAATGACCTTAATTGGATTTCTTTTTGGAACAGCATTTATTTTTTATTCCGTAAAATGTTGACACGAATCCCTTTTTCCCTTGTATATTTTATTCCCTTCCCCCCCAAATGACTCCTGTATTGGTTTTGAGTCCGGTCAACTATCATTGTAGGTGACGGGGGGGGGGGTCCCCCGAATTGATTCAGTCACAAACTGATCGTTCACGTGCTTTGCAAGCTGTCCAGCTGCTGCTGCTGCCCCCCCCACCGTGAGCCGGGTTTTCAAAATACCTGCTAAAGTCACTGCGAGTAGCGTGGCAAACATAAGGACGCTCTGGCTGCTCCATGACGGGAACAGAACCTTCTGGATGCCGCAGAACCTCTGCACGAACCTCCAGTCCAACTTTGGTCTAGTGCACATTGAAAGCGAAAGCGGTCAGCCGCCGCCACTCGTGGCAAAGCAGCCCCAAGTGCTGCTCTGAAAGGGGACATCTTGCCTTGGCGCGGTTCCTCTGCCTTCTGCCTTGTGGAAGCGAGGCATGATTTGCGCCGGAGAAAGGTGGAAACGATCTCTCGCGATGAACCAAAGGCGCGAGCGAGCTTCAGTGAGCTACCGTCGACGCGACAAACTCACAAATGGGAGCGGGGAAATGACCGCCTCCGCAATATTTCGTCACGGGGGTGACGTAAACACGCGTCGGGTGAGCTACAGTTGGTCTGAAATCAAAAGAAACAAAAACACAACGCTTGAAACGAACGGGGGGGTTAAACGAGCTGCCATTGCCTCCGACTGAATACGGAACCTCCGATTCCGCGCGGGGACAGCCTTTGGTTATGCGTCAAAGTAAAAGTTTCAACTTCCGCCTTAAACCGGATGTTTGGAGCTTCCGAAATAAAAGTTCAATAGTGCTTCGAGAAGGGGGTGGGGGGGTCCTCGTTTGACGATGGCCGACGACTTGGGGCCTTCGCACCATCGCAGCGCTACGTCGTAGTCGACTTAGCGTTTTTGGTTGGATTGGTTTTATATTGATGGCCAAAGTCTCCGCGGGGGCCGATATAAATTACGATTGGGTGATTGGGGGCGGGTCTTCTACTTCTTGATGGAAGTGATAAATGAAAACGGAATGAAATTTCTGTACTGTTATTCCGACTCATAAAAGTACAGCATTGTGCCGCAGGCTGTGAATTGCTCTTGAGTGCCATCTAGCCGCCATGTGGCTGGAGGCCCGAAGAAGGTGCGAGGTTCCCAGATGCCTCGCGTCGGCGCTGCCAAGAGGCACTTTTCATCGAAATATTGAATTATGTCGCTTGGGCTTGCGCCGGCTTCCTCCCGCACCCCAAAAAAAGGGGCTTGTGTGGTGAGCAGCGCCTCCATGACGAAAACAAGCCAGACAAAAGCTACAAAGGTCAAGATTTTAATAGACTTGAGTGCAATGTTCAACTCTTTTCAACTTATTCGAGATAGGAGATGACATTCAAAATACTGCATTTTCCATGTCTACTTTAATATTGTCACGCGCCGACTTGAGAGAGCGCTCTACTTTCCAGTAAACGTCATCCACGCAAGAGTGGTCCAAAAACAAAGCCGGGAGACCGAAAAGAGTCACCACACCGCAAATATCATTTGGAATACTGAAAACGCGATTCATCGTTTGGTTTATTCTTCAGAGCAAAGTGATGGTGATAAAAAAAAAATAAAATAAAAGTACAGTAAGCACAATCAGAGAGATGGATCAAATGAAACAAAAGTGGACGTTGGATGTCCCGGGAGGGGCGGGGGATCTTTTGGACACTTTCAACAACTCACACAAAAATACTTTGGAAACACCCAGTTGTGCCTTTCCGGAGTCTCCTCTCTCCTCCAGTGTGTTGTCAAGTGCTTGGTAGCCTCAAGTTTGCCATCTTTGAGTTTTTTTTAAGCACTTCTGCGAGTATACAGTGCATTGTTCTGTTGGGTTTTTTTTTTTTTCTTCTTTTCTCCAGATTATTGCCAGTCTTGTAATTGACAGCAGCGTTACCCTGACAGAAATTCAAGACCCTGTATAGTGAATTTCGAGATTGGTTTCTACATTCTGTACTTTCCATGTTTTAAAGGTCATCGCTTCAAAACAAGTGCAAAAGACGGAGAACTTTGGAGGACTCGATTGGCTTTTCGCCATTTCACTTTTCCTGCTGCGTTTGGTGCGAAAAAACGAGGCCCTCATTTTACGTTTCAACCTGGTCATTTGCTGTGGCAGATGGGGGGAGAAGGAGGGGGGGGGTCCTTCCGGGCAGGTTGCGGGCGGAGCCTAAAGTAGGATGTGTCGCTTTCAAGACAAAGGTTCTCACAAAAAAAAAAAGTTTACTAACAGTAATAATGATCAGCCCAAGAGTTCGGACACACATACAGTACGTCGACCTCCGCCCGTGACCTGAACCGGAACGGTTTGCCGCATTTGGTTTAGCCGAACGCGCAAGTCAACCACGTCACGTTACAACGTGACATTGAGCCCCCCCCCCCTTTTCTCTTGTGGCATAACAGCAGTACGTTTGCGTAGCATTCACCCTGTACGGCGCACGCGGGCCGCGTTTGGTTTACGCCAGGTTTAGCAGCCTGAAGAGGAGCGGGACCACGCACACGCACGTGAAGCCCACCACGCTGTAGACGATGTAGCGGTACGGCAGCTCCACGGCCATGCGCTGCCTGGCCCGCCGCACGTCGTCGGCGGGGAGCCCGGCCAGCCGGCACAGCAGGGGGATGGCGGCCGCCTTCATGAGCATCCGGGTGAGCAGGAGGACGGCCACCCCCAGGGCGAAGCGCAGCAGGGCGCGGGCCGCAGCGGGTCGGCCGTCAGGCCCAGCCGGTAGTTGGCGTGGGTGGCCAGAGCGGCGCCGGCCCCGGTGCCCAGCGCCTGGGCCGTGTCGCCGCGGGAGGTGCTCCACGAGTCCAGCGAGAACGCCGCCAGTCCCAGGCTCACGTGCGACACGATGATGACCAGCGGCGCGTAGGCGTGCCTCATGTAGAAGTCGTCGATCTTGTCCAGGGTTTGCTGGAAGAAGGCCAGGACGAGGAGGCTGTACAGGAAGCCGCTGATCACTTCCTGCCGCGCGCACACACACACAAAAAATCCTTTTACCGGCAATCGCCGTCCATCCAAAACCCGGACCGATTATCGCCGCCGCTATTTGCCCGATAAGCACCCACGCGCACAGTTGCACATTGCGCTAAGCTCGCGCCGGACATGAAAATTAGGGCCGCGAGTCTTTGACACTCACCAGAACCGAATGCATGCCCATGTAGACTCTGCTCACGCACACCAGCACGCTCCAGCACAGCGCCACGCACAACCCAAACAGGAACGGGTACTGTGGGACAAACAAAGCAGAAAAAGGACAGGAAGTCTTTGCGTTACTAGCCGGGCGGTCCCTTGAAGCCACTTCTTGTTTGCGAGCGCATGCAAGGTTTTTCGGCTTTGTACGTCCTCATCAGAATGTGCTGGGCTCGTTTTTAGAAACAGGAAGCGGCATTGTGTCTCAACCATGACAAAGGCTTGCTGACTTTTCCTTGTTGCGAGGTAAAGCAGCGAGATTCAAGTCTTCAACATGCAACCCGACGGCTGCACTGCTCCCTCAACGGGTGGCAAACGCCTCCCGCAATTCTTCTTCTCTCTTTTTTTTGGTCTTGCTCAGCCAAAATGTCACAAGGCCACAGATTTTGATGACGAATACATTTTTTTGTTCCTCTCCATTTTTTGCCTTCTTCGATGCTTGTTTTCACTTGCTGTATTCGCATTAAAAAAAAATAAAATAAAATAAACGGGAACCAAATTCCTGGCTTCTCCAGGACTAAAGAAGTCCGATCTCTTTTAACTTGGCATCAGTACACCGTCATGTGCTGTGATGAGGATGGTGTCAGTGCTGTGACTCGCTATTGCAGTGGCCTTTGTGAGAGTTCAAAAGGCCATGTCAGATTGACCGACAGACTGATTGCCTGGCCCACATTCACTGACTGGTGCTCTTATCAGAAACTGATACTGTACTCATTGGACACTTCATTAGGGACCCACACAGTCAGTATTTTGGATCCACAGAGACAAGCCTTTGTCGTGATGATTGTTGTTGCCGTTCTACGCCTCCGTGCTTTCAAACAGTTTACGATACAGAACAACAAAGCCGATATATGACTCGCTCACACCCGGGTTCGCAGTTTGAACGTTTTGGGTTTTCCCTTACCTGCCAGCGTCCATACGTGAGCATGAAGAGGCAGAAGGGGATGGCGGTGCCCGTCATGGCGTGCGTGGACGGCATGCTGTACTCGGAGTTGTAGAAGACCTCCACCTTGACCACGGGGGGCGACGCCGGCCGCGACCAGCGCACCATGTCCTTGGTGGACTGGCCCACCATCAAGTTCCAGGCCCAGACCACGATGAGCCGGCGGCTGACCAGCGCGTCCACGTTCCAAAAGAGGAACGGGAAGAAGACGATGAAGAACATCTCGTTGCCCAGCTCCGTGCCGAAGGTGAACAGATAGAAGAGGAACTTGTTGTGGATCAGGAACTCCTGGCCCACGTCGCCGGTCAGCGAGTTTCTGCGGAGGGGCTTGGCCCGGGCGGAGGCGCCGTCGTCGTCGTCGTCGAGGTCCTCCGCCTCGCCGGGCTTTCCGTTGGCGTGCACCGCCGCCCCGTTGCCGGCGACGTCGTCCGCGGGGCTCCGCTTCCGGAGGTCGGGGCGCTCGTCGTCACCGCCGCCGTCGTCGTCTTGCGACTCGCTCGCCTTCTCCGGAAACGTGCCCCGGACCCCGCAGAGGCGTTGGAACCTCGCCACCAGGCGGGGGTCCTGGAGATAATTACACGTCTCGACAAATGCCTTGACGACGTCCGTCGCCATGATGTCAGCTCGCGTTTGGGGGGCTTTTTACTCGCGCGAGCTCATGCTCGGCCTTGCCCAGAGGAAGAAGGGAAAAAAAAAAAAAAAAAAACACTCGGCGGCGGATTAACGCCTTTCCGCCGGCGCCCGCATGCGCAAACGCCGACCGATGTGGGAGATTTGGCGGAGCGGCGATCAAAGTCCGTTCGCGAGGCGTCGCGTATTACGTCATCAAGGAGCGAGGCCCGGTTCACGGACGCTGCCGCCGCAAAACCGCGTCAAGTCGAAGTCAGAAATCGGCCGGTTTCCGATTCGTTTCGTTTCCCGAACAGGCGGTGCCCCCCAATAAAGGCTTCTTCGTCGTTGGGTCGTCGTTTTCTTCTTCCTCGATTCTGGCCCATGGCCCGCCACGTCCGTCGTTCGCTCTCCGGCACCCTCTGGCGAATCGAACAAGTATTACAACATGTTCCTTGCCAGCCACATTTGCCAGCAGAAACGGCGGGTGGCTGGAAGAAAGAAAGAAAGAAAGAAAGAAAGAAAGAAAGAAAGAAAGAAAGAAAGAAAGAAAGAAAGATGGGTGGAGAGAAGAAATGGATGTTCGGGCGGAAGGAAATGGATGGCCGATGATGGTTGAATGCGTGTAAGACTGAAGCGCTTCACAAAACAGTTAACGTCAGGTAAAATAATAAACACAACACATAACATCAAACACGGACAGTCGTGCAATCCTAACCACTTTTCCCTCATACACTTTGTTTAAAGCAATTCGAGATGAAAGGGGAGAGAATCAAAGTGTCCTTTCACCGGTGGATCAAGTCAACAAGCGGAACAAGACCAGAAAACACCTCGACTCCATCTTAGAAACTTTTGGTCGCGTACGCAGTCGGCTTGTGAGCACTCGGAGGAAACGGCAAAGCAATATTGACGTCGACCGATTGTTGTCAAAGCAAAAGTGACGCAGGATTGCCCAAGTCAGACTTTTATTTTGAAAAGGGCAATCCGGAAGCCCGCGTCGGGGTGGCACGCTCGCATCCAGCAGCCCCACCCCACCCCAACCCCCGAGCGCTTGAGAGTCGGGACTTGTTCAGGTTGATGCCGGCTTCAGCATCCAACCGCAGCGGCGCCCCGCAGCCTGCAGCATGCACGGGGGCAAGAGGGGGCTGGTGGCCCCGCAAAACACCTTTTTGGAGAATATCGTCCGACGCTCCACTGGTGAGTTTGACTCACTTGGTCTTTGGAACGGAGAGACGTTTGCCAAGTCAAGTGCATGGCATGCATGCGATCCTCGAATAGCAGCTCGAGACCGAACTGTGCCTCCAAAAGTGCGCGTTTGACGAGAAAACATCTGGCCTCTACCAAGCGCACTTTTGCGACTGGAAATGAGGAGTTTTGGACAGCAAGGTGGGGGCTCAAACGCGTTCTCGTGATGCGGGCAGAGACGAGGCGCTCACTTCAAGGAAGGCTCCACTTGAATGCACTCGCGGCAGCCGCGGCCGCATTCGTGCCGAGACCCCCCCCCCC